GTTGCATGCTCTCCGACTAATTTTAAATCCGACCAGCAGTTACACTTGCGCTACGGGTTTCCAAACCGAATAATACCCTTTCGTTGGGTGTTAAATTGGAAAAAAAACGTAATTTCTACCGAATGTGCAAAATAATGAATATTTATATTCATGTTTTCCATGAAATATAATTGAATTCTTAAGGGCATCAAAAATCAACGAGAAAAATGCACGTTACATCAGTAGTCATTTTTTACGGAGTATGAATTTTACATACAGCCAGAAAGAAGTTTTTTCGAAAGCCGAAATCCTGCGGTAACTTAATTGTTATAGAATTATGCTGCTAGATGATTAGTCTTACAACACCACTCGATTAATCTTTTCGAAAAGAAAATGCATTTCGGAATTTCGATTGACATTTCATAAGTTAGCCCACCTACTGTATACTCGAAAAAAATGTGTATTTAAGTTTTAAAGGACTTTTATTCGGACTAATTTTAAATCCGACCAGCGGTTGCGCTTGTGCTAAGGGTTTCCAAACTAAATGCTACATGCTTTTAGTATAAGGAACCACATACATTTCTCCACGCCACCGATAAAGTGTTACACGAACCTCATGAAATGTTAAAATGAATGTGGTCCATGTTGTATACTTCATAGGCTGCATAAACAAACGGATCGATAGTAAATATGTATAAATGGGCATTTTGCCGTCATGAAATCTTGTAATGACAGACTTTTTATGAGCCAAAAGATACCGTTTATTTTAGAATTAAATTTAAAGTAGACGCAGTTTACTGCTGCATACTGATTAGTTTTGCAACTCTATTTAATTAATCTTTTCGGAACGAAAGCGCATTGCGGAATTTCAGTTGACATTTCATGAGTTAGCCCATCTACTGTAATGGGAGGCTTGCTCCTCAAGGCGGATGTAGACTAGTTTCAACGGAGTTATATAACTGGTGTTTCGTCCACACGCGTGCTCCCGCACCCGAACGACACGGTGCTAAGACAGTGGCCTGATACTGCTTGACGCAACCGCGCCAAACACCTTTTGCTTCAGCACACACACACGCACCTAAACCAGTCCTCATTTTAATTCCCACCCCTTCAACTCCCCCGGATCAGAAAATCCGGGCTTGCCTAGCGGCCTGTCTTTCATCACATGGCGCATGTAGGGCCAACCTAGGCCAGAGGAACCTTGGGCCTTTTGTCTTGGGACATATCTTTTTGCCATTTCTTTCTCAAAGTCTAACCTCATTTTTAATCAGCCAAGCAAATCTCTTTGAACCAGCCTGTTTGATTTTGAACGCTCTAACTGCCTAAGCTGTGAGGCCCCACCGGGATCCGTGAGTTTGAGCACATTTGGGCCAAGTTACACGCACATCCAGCTGCAACCAATGGAATCCACCAAATCCGATACAGTAAGCTGACTGCACAAGCAGGATTTTCCAACTAATCAATTAGACTCATGGCTGTCCGTGGGGCCTCGTAGCTCATGTGGCTAGAGCATTGACAGTAACTAGGCCTTCTCCTTGCTGTCGTTAGTTGAGTCAAGATAACTTATTCAAGATCTATGAATTACGTGGGCCTGGTAGTCATCTGGTGGTTTCTAGGGTGGATTACTTAGGAAATCCTGCTTGGTCAGTCAAATTACTGTATCGGATTTGGTGGATTCCAGATGTTGCGGTAGGTTGGGCGGGTAACTTGACCCAAATGTAATTAAACTCGCGTCGTCCGGCGGGGCCTCCTAACTCAAGTGTTTAGAGCGTTGGCTGTACTAAAGCCTTCCCCTTATTGCGTGGGTTCGAATCCCACCGAGGCTCCGAGTTTTCTACAGTTGGGTCAATATGAATTATTCAAAAATCTGCCAAAACATCTATGTATTCAAGATCTGGCGAATCACTTTGTAGAATATGCAATGATTCACGAATAGCTTCTTGTAAGTCAGAAACCGGCCTAAAATTCACCGACTATAACTCCTAGTTAATAGTGAAGGATATTCAGTTAAGTAAAGACACAAAAAATTACTGAAAGTAATATTACTGTGTATAAACCGGACTACTCTTACGGAGAAGTAGAGCTGCAAAGAAGGCGAAAGTTGGTTTTAAATGAGCGGGTTTAATTTGTCAAATTACACACAAACAGCTGAGTAAACAAAATGGCATAAGCACATCAACGCCTTAAATATCCCGCATAGGTCATCTTCCTTACAAATATCTTGTAATAATTTGTGTAATATGCAACATGCCAACCAGTCAGATGCCTAATATATTGCCTAATGACGTCACGAGAGGTCAATGAATTTTTTCCATTTTTACATTGTTTGAAATGCGGTTGATTATGGAAAAAGAGGATCTCACTTGAGTTGGATGACAGGGACATTACAGAAGCGCAAGTCGTCGTAAGACCCTAATCTCAACCCTCCTTAACTGGTTCATAACTCTCCCAGTTTACAGAAGCGAAGAGGCGAATTTCAGGAAGTAGTCGAGAAGGAGGACACACCTAAGCAGCAAGCTCTCGGGCCTTTATATTCATGCAGCTGACAGTTTGACTATAAGAAGAAGCGATCGCTGGAACAAGGGCTTTATCCGTCCGACGTTTCCGATTCTCACTTGAATCCATCATCAGAGACACCCTGCCCCTTTTCTGCAACTGCCTCCGATGATGGATTCAAGTGAGAATCCGAAACGTCAGACGAATAAAGCCCTTTTTCCAGCGATCGCTTATTCTTCTTCTTCTTCTTCTGATCAATTAGTTCCTGGGACTCGCATCTTCGCTTGTATCGGCAGTTTGCCATATTCACTAACTCACTCAAACACGAAACAGGATCGCCAAAGTGGGGAGGTATGTGCTCTCGGCCAAATGAGCAACATCCTTTTCTCATCGATCGTTTTTAAAAGGGCTTTACTGGCGTATTTCTCTGATGAATGTTAACGTCCTTTGTCTGTATCGAAAGTCAGTCACGGAAAAGTGTGGAAGATTTTGGATATTCTAAAAATTTTCTCTTTTTATTGAAACTACTTTTATTTTCTCTGCTCGCTTGTAGACCCTATTTGACGATTGTGGGTGAGCTACATCGTGACTATTTAGGCACTTAAATGCGTCTTAAATGACCAAAACTTTGCCCACCCAGTTTTAAATATCACCTGCCGGTAGAAAGTAGACCAAACGACAAATTTCCTTTCATGTGCTTAAAGTTAAAACAGCCGCCTGACGGCAGATCTTATCGCGGTTGCTCATCAGATATTCGCGTATGTCTGAAAAGTTGGGGCCGGTTAAAAAAGGGTAAAAATATGCACATATGCAAGCCAAAATTTGAAATGATGGAAGCTCTGTTTTTCTGAAAATAACGGGCCTATTCACATCTTGTCGCATCTGACTTACCCGGAAGAAAGAAGCAGTCTTTGAGTAGACAATGCTTGTTTTGTTAAATCTCGTTGGTTTACCTTGGTGTTTTCGTCTAGTCAAAAATAATTAAATGGTCTGTGCTGGTTTCCAGTTTAGGAAATTGTCTAAATATAGAGGAAGATTGATTTGTGTCCAGAATTGTGAACATTTTCGTCGGAAACATATTATGCCCTTGAAAAAGACTTTTCTAGAATGTGCTTAATTAATAAGTTAAATTCACAGCGTTTGGCGTATTCTGAAGTGATCGTCCAGTTTAGGGTCACCCGGTTTTGTGAGTTACGCTGCCTAGGAGAAATTTGTGTTCTCTCCCTCTTTGCGTCGCTTAGAATAAAACACCATGCTTTTAGAGGGACCGTCCTGGCAATACTGTCACTTTGAGCTACCAGACGGTCACGGGTTCGGACCTCAGGAGTTGAAAAATTATGGGGTTAGACGTGGTCCACCGATAATGTTAACAAGTCAGAAGGGACATTCAAGGTTCGTCCGACTTTGTCAGCAATGTTATTCTGCAAATTATATAAGTGTATATATTATCTCGTTCATCATCCTCAAAAGAAGACGAAGAAGAAAAAGGGGCGACTGAATAGATCATATTGTATTGGTGCTGACGTTTCGGAAACTTCCTCGAATCTTCACTCATGTATATATATATATATATATACATAATACATAAGCAGCTCGCTAAGAGTGCAACAGGCCAGACGCGTCTGGCCTGTTGCACTCTTAGCGAGCTGCTCATGTATTATATGTGGTATGTGTCCTCTGACACAGCGTTCGTTGTCGCCAGTAGCAAGCTGGCGGGCGGACAGAATGGGATCGAGTGAGATCCTAGCCACAACAGTGAGGGTCAAACGCCCACTTGACATGCATATATATGTGGATATAAGCGAAAATGCTGACCCCAGGTGTAGAAATGGAAGAAGGAGATGAGGCGTTCTCTGGGGAGGAAGATTTAATCATCTGACGTTTCGCACTCATACTCGAGCACATCATCGGAGACAGGCCAAGTGAGAAATACATGGTTTAAATAGGCCATTCGCGCTCGCGCCTGATAGGTAGATCACGCTCTTCTCATATTGGTCCTCCTCTCGCGCACAAGTGGTGCCTGATGGCCTTGTATGGCGCTGGTAGGTCAATACTGCGGTTGATCGAGTTGGCATCTGATTGCCAGGCTTCGATTACTTCTCTCGCCAGCTTGCTTTCGGCTCGGCCGAGCACTTGGGCGCCGTCAAAGTCGAATACGTCATTATTTTCTAGACATTGCACGGCGACGTGCGAGCGTACATCCTTTCGCTTAACGGCTAGGGCGTGCTCATGCACGCGCGTGCGCAGTCGTTTGTCCGTCATGCCACAGTAGTTGGCCAGACAGTCTAGACATTTGACGCGGTAAATGGCGCCTGACGTGTCTGCGGGTGGTAGCCGGTCCTTGGGTTGCATGAGTAAGCGGCGGATGGTGGCCTCAGGTCGGTGTTCATCGCCCACGCCTAGTGGCCTTAGCATGCGCTCAGTGGCTTTGGAGACGTTTCTCACGTAAGGCAGAACGCCGAAGATCTCAGGTCTTTGCGTGTTCTCACGGTCGACCCTCGCATGTCTTTGGTATAAGCATTTGTTCACAAAACTGCTCGGATATCCGTTGACAAGGAAGGGGTGCATAGGGTTTCACGCTCCCGCAGCTTCTCGGCTTCTGTGCTGCAGTGTGTTTCGATGCGACGAAAAAGCGTCCGGACGCAGCTGCGCTTATGCGACAGGAGATGGTTACTGTTGTAGTGGAGAATTTTCTCCGTGTTTGTCGCTTTTCGAAAGACACCAGTCTGGAGGGTTCCGTCTTCTTGCCTCGTTACCTGAACGTCGAGGAAAGGAAGCACTCCGTCTTCTTCTTCCTCCATGGTAAATTGAATTTGTGGGAAGACCGAGTTCAATTCCCTTTTAAAGTTGTCTTTCGCGTCTCGGCGTAAGATGACAAAGGTGTCGTCTACGTAGCGCATCCAGAACTTCGGCTTGTGGGATAGAAAAATTCGAGCTTCCAGTTCCTGCATGACCGCCTCAGCCAGGTAGCCGGAAATCGGGGACCCCATTGGGGTTCCCTGGAGTTGCTCGTAAATTTGACCATTAAAAGTGAAGTAAGTGCGTAGGCAGTAGTCCAGTATTTCCATCACGTGCTTCCGCTTAAACGGGTTCCCCTCTTCGTCGTACTTTCTCTTCAGTGGGTCACTGATGACTTCCATGGCCAATTCTTTTGGGGTGGAGGTGAATAGAGAAACGACGTTAAAGGATACCATTACCTCAATGGGGGGGGGGGCTATTACAACCCCTTTGAGTTTTTTCAGGAAGTGTGTTGAATATACGGCTGTGTGTTCTGAGCCGTCCGTCAGCCTCTTTAAATGCTTGGCGGGCCATTTAGCCAGTCCGTAGGTAGGCGTGCCTTTCAGCGCCGCAATGGGCCGTAGGGGAACAATCGGCTTATGGATTTTTGGCAGACCATAGAAACGCGCTAGGGCAGCGTCTTGCGGTTTCATCTGTCTCCAATCTCTCTCGGATACTGCCTTTTGGTTCCTCATTTGGTTCAGGCTCTTGTTGATTTTGCCTACCAGTGTTTTCATGGGGTCGGTGTCAACGACTTTGTATGACTGGTTGTCGTTGAGTAGCTCTTGGGCTTTCGTCACGTACTCAGACTTGTCTAGGACCACGGTTGCCCGCCCTTTGTCCGCTGGAACATTGACAATTTCTTCGTCATTCTTTAATTCTCTTATGGCCTTGAGCTCCGCTGAGGTGATGGTTCGGCGTGGCCTATGGGATATGATGAGGGATGCGACTCGCTGGCGAATCGCGTTCTTGGAGTCTTCTGCGGCATCCGTTTTTGAGAGGGCCACTTCTAGTGCAGCGATAAAATCTACTGCCTGTGTGTCTCCAGTGTTGTAGCCGGATTCATGTTGAAGCACTTTAATTTGGTCGTCTGTCAGCTGTTTAGATGACAGGTTGTGGACAGCTGACGGTTCGCGCATGGGTGCTTCTGCTTGTTTTAGGTTACGCATTTTGCTGAGGAGTTGGGTCTTCTTCTTGTCTCGCTCCTCGTCCACCTTAATCAAGATCCAGCGCTCCAGGTTTCGCATTGTTTGCTCGTCCATGTATGCTGCACATGCCGCTTTCTCCCTTTCGATTTCCCTGCCGTATTTGCGCAGACGAATGTGACATTCGTTGATGAGGGTCCTCCGTAGGCGTCGGCTGCAGCTTCTGGTGACCTCGCGGCCGAAGTCAGTTCTAGCTGGTGGTCTTACAGAAACGCTCCTCGGCATAATGTCCGACCTCAGGCAGTTGTGCAGAAAGGCCAATTGTTCCCATGTAGATCCCTGTCTACAGGAAAATATTTCCCAGTGTCGCGCCCGGCGAAGCGCTTCGCGCCCGGAAGTCTCATGGATATAAGCGGAAATGCTGACCCCAGATGTAGAAATGACCATCAGGCACCACTTGCGCGCGAGAGGAGGACCAATATGAGAAGAGCGTGATCTACCTATTAGGCGCGAGCGCGAATGGCCTATTTAAACCATGTATTTCTCACTTGGCCTGTCTCCGATGATGTGCTCGAGTATGAGTGCAAAACGTCAGATGATTAAATCTTCCTCCCCAGAGAACGCCTTATCTCATTCTTCCCTATATATATGTATATAGGCAGAATGGCATTGCCGACAAAGGCGATGAAGACTGGAATTGCCATTTCTGGCTTATTAGCCGTCGTCAGCCCGCCATACGCGACCCCGAGATGTGGAACATTTGGGGCTCGAACTCGCGACCTGTTAGTTAGAAGTCCAACGCCAGGGGCCCGTTTTCCTGTCGGTTTCGATCGGGAATATACAATGGTAGGGGGGCGCTCACCGATCGTTCTTACGGAACTCACTCGTTCCGTTGTGCACAATCAGTCCGTGAGAGCGTCTCTACCATTATATATATAGCAGCGAGGACGGACGACGGAGAATGCATTTTCTCTCCTCCCTTTTCGCTGCTATTATGACTTGGCCGACTTTGGCCTGGTAATCGGTCGCCTGTTCGTGACCTTTGCCACTCATAAGAAGTTTTTTTACTTCGGGAAACCAATAGATCGATGTGCGCCCATCGCTGACTGAATATGTATTTACATCAGTTCATTCTCGATTAGTATATATTAACTATGTTAGAAGTGTGTCCAGCGATCGGGTGGCAGAATATTTTAGTCCCGTTGTGCTTCGGAGCGTGATATGGTGCCCTGAAGTCATTGAGTTGCTATTGATATGGACAAGCATAAATTACTGATAAACAAAAGTGAGATTAAAATGAACACTTCCGGCCTATTAACTGCGATCCGCCAGCCATACTAAATCCCAAGCTTGGGACACCGGGTATCCGAACCCGGGATCCTTAGTCACTGAATCGAACGCCTTACCGACTGAGCCACGGGCTCGTTGTCCTGTCGGTTGGGGTCTGGAACGTAAGCCATGTTGGTTGATGACGAATTATAAGCTTGCCTTGTCGGCTATTTAAATCTGCCAATTCTACTGGTTGGTTTGCAACACCCTGCGGGACTACAAGTCGAGCCGCAAAAGCACAACGAGACGTTCATGTCTCATAAGCCGATCAGTAGGCGCACTTCCAGCAGCATATATATGTATACTGGGGTTCTGGGATGACATATCTGCAGCACGTTTGCGGTTTATTTCTGAGGAAATTAGAAAGCCACATTCATATACATCGTACATAAAAGTTTCTAAAAAGAGATGGAACTTAGGCTACGATCTGGGTTAGCGGTTGTATGACTTTTAGGGACAGCAAACCTTAAGTCTGGGGGAGGATAACCTATCGTGTGCTTTCCAAAGAAACATGTTCAATGTCCGCCTTCCCCCTCCCTACCAAGGCTAGTATTACTTGGTGTGACTTCATAATCTGTGAGTGTTGTACTTCAGGGAAGCCTCCTCGGTTGAATGTACGTTTAACTTTTAGCTGAAAAGCTAGCCAGGTCTCCGCTCGAATTTCGTTGAATTGGCGAATTCATGACTTATGTTCAACTCGTCGGTGGAAGTATAAGTGACGGTGCGGTATCGTAGACCTTCATAGGGTCCCCGTTAAGGTAGAAGAATTTTACTGTAGTAATATTCTGAAGCGTTTTTCCCGGGTATGAATTGAAAACAGGGATGTACTTGACAGTAGTAATATTGTCCTAAGAAACAACGTCCGGTAGTGACAACGATGAATACATTTCTTTTTTTCAAAGAATAGTGGGGCAGGAAGGTAGAATAAAGATTCAGCCGAAGTGTTCCGAGCAGGAGTTTTGGAAAAGTTCCTTGCATTGACTAGTTTTGTCGTTACGTAAAATGCTTCCCCTGTTTTTGCTGAGATTTCAAGTGCTCTGTGTTTTCTATCAAATAACATGTCGTAACTCTACTCCGGATGAAACTCTCGTTTACATGACATTAGTCACATTTTCATAATGGCGCCGCGGTTGCCTATCTAGAATCTCGTCGAACGTTCCCAGGAATTAGTCGACTTCCCTGCAAATTCTGGCAGCTGCGTGGTAACAGGAGGTGTGCACTGCTCTTTTGCAGCCAAATTCCTCCCGGTCGGTCACATCAACCTCCCCTTGTACTGAGGGGCGTTTGCTACCGTTTTCTGGGCAATTGCAGTAGTAGCTGCGCCCTATGTGGCAGGCTGCGTAGTTTTCGCAGGCCTAACAGCTGCCAGCAGAACCTGTGTTTTTGTTACACAGAATTCCCCCGCCCCACCACCGCCCCTCTCCGCCCTCCAGTCCCTCATAAACAATAAGTTACTCTGCAATTCACAACAGGAAGTAACCCATCTGCAGGCGTAATTTTCTACTAGGGGTATCGGAATCTTCTAACTGGCACGAGAACTCAGGGAAATACGGTCGCTTTGGCCTACACACTGACTGCTCCTCAAGCCATTGGTCCAGGTTTTTGCACAAAATTAGTAAATCTGGTGGGTCGGTTAACAAGCGAGGGAAAAGCCGACTTTAAGGAATTCCCTCTGGGTTCTGTGGATTACCTTCGTCTGGAAGATCGTCTGCTGGATTAAGCTCTGGCGAATTTGGCCCGGATAACAATTCTTGCCTAGACAGCAGCTAATCCTTTGTCTGGATCTCCTGTCTAGGGGTGATTTAAATTCCTTGCATTTTGTTGTACAGGTGTTCTTCCTGCAAAGTTTCCGCTTTTAAATGCAGGATTACACTGAATTTGTTTACGTACACTGTAGGTAAAATCAGCTCGCTATGTCTACCATTCTCACCGTTGATAGGCCTGAACGTATGCTTCATTGAATTCTGCTGTGAACACAAACGTGATCTTTAATGCAAGGATAAATTCGGTCTAGGTATGAGTCTGAATTTGAGTAGTAATGTCCTCCAGTCGCTATTCGCGTCTGGATATTTCACTAGGTTGTTTGGTTAGCAGAAGATCCCACAGTTCATGCAGTGCACATGTGACGGCGAGTTTACGTCACCTCCGGTTGGAACGACTTGGATAGGCGATTAGTGAATAGGAGCGATGAAAAGTCGACCTCGAAAAATACTTGCTGCAGGCAATTTAGCACACTCCCCGCTATAATAAATCAGAAGTGCTTGACCTTATACTGGCGTGATAACAGTTCTGACTTGGGCGATTTTCGGCTTAAGGGCAATTTTGTTCTACTTAGTAATGGGAGTCAGGCTGCAATCGCTTATTCTTAGCATGACTTTTATGACATTCGCACGCACGCGGCGTTTTGTGCCCCATGGTGTGCGTGGCAGGCGTAGACGGACTGTTTAACTTTGTTGGTAATCGCGTTCGTGTCCAGCTGCGGTCGTCCAGACCTTCTCCTGTTCCTGCAGCCAGGTGAGTGAGAGGAAAGCGGGTTCGGTTGATGCTGCGCAGGTCCGACTCATTATAAACAAATTCTTGCGAATGTCGACGGTGTTGCGCTCACTTTTTGAAACACCGGTGTTCGTTATCGTTTATTACGGTCTACGAAAAGCACTAAACAGTGAACACCAGCCTTTCATATGTTAGACTACGTTAAATGCAGTGGCTAGTTGCAGCCATCTTTGTAAAGCACTCTCGGAAGGCATAACCATTTTACGTAGTACACTCCTATCCCTTGGATCTTTCAAAACTATTGTAAGTCCTGAGACTAAGTGCGAACACAAGTTAAATTTGCACTTCTCCCGGGACTACGTAAAATGTTAGTTCGTAAAAGCGTTTTCGGTCGCCGTATAGGAATTTTGACCTGCAAGTGGCATATTCAGAAAAGACGCGTTCACAGGAATGCGGTATGCTGCAAGCCAACCGTTGTCTTCCGGCTTCGGTGCGGCTGCAAAGAGGGAAACTGCCTCTGCCAGTCTAACTGGGTCCAGGGACGCGGATGCACAAGCAGCAGTTGGCCATCAGTGGGAGGAGACGAACCATACCGCACAGAATGAACACGTCTTCAGCTTTAACGTGTTAAAGTACACAGGAAATGTTACGCATGCTTTACTTTGCAAACCAAGGAAGCCATGCAAACAACCCAACGTAATTAAATTTCATTCTCGGAAAATAGTCTGTCCCAGCTTCTCCACGGTTCCGGGTGCGTTTTTTCAAAGGCTGAATTTCAGGTAGCCCAAGAAGAAAAACCTAAGAGAGATATGTTCAGGCCATTCAGATAACCATCCTAGGGGCCCTCCTATACCAATGTATCAGCTGTATAAAATCACATTGGTGTAGTCATTTAAAGTCTGGCAGCAGCAGTCCTTTTGCAGCAGTCCTTATTCGTTGAAGACGCACATGGTCACGCAGGAACTACATGTCGTTGCGACAGTTAACCACATGACTGACCTAATATGGGGAGAAATTGGCTAATTTTGATAGAAGTCTGCCCTAATGTAATTAAGTCGGGAAATATGGTCCACTTAATGTTTCTCTTATAAAACCAGTTGAGTCCGAAATACTATGGGATTATGCCGCATGATAATGAACATTTCAACCCCAACTAAGTAATCCTTCCTAATCAAAAACGCATTTCATAATTTCGACCAGCATTTCATGAGAGCGGTCATTCGCTGCAGTTGTGCATATAGGCTTAGCATCAAAAGCCCCTGTCTATTGATTCTCGTTGAGACAATGAAGTACTTCTGATAACTAGGGTTACTAGCCTACCTAATGGGACGAAAGTTTGCCCTAGGTGTCTAATGCAAACGCATGCGACGACAGTGTTCATTACCGATTCTTATTAAAATATATAAACACCTCTACTATTACTGATTAAGTAACACCTTTGTGGCATTTTAACTCACGGAAGA